CATTATTTATGTCACTCGTAGGGTATACGGCTTCGGGAGTTTTCCTACGATAAAAAACGATAAAATTCGTTCCGTGGCACGGAAATAATATATTCAATGACGTCCAGCCAATCGTGTTTATGGATCTGACAAACGAGTACTATGTATATAATACAGAAGGTGGTGATTCTATTCACACTGTACACTTTACAGAAGTTTTCTCAGTAAATMTACGTATTTTTGAAAAACATTTTCATTGCATTTTAAGTCATCAAAAACAATTTTTGTTTATAAAACTTGAGTTAATAAATGTAAACGAAATTTGTCTTAAAATCGGATAAAACAAAATTTTCAAAAATACAAACTTGCTTTTAAAATTATTGTTAGGATTGATTAAAAAATCACTCTATATRACAACACGCTCCCGGTGACGGAGGCACGAGCGAACCGTAGCCGCCAGCGTTTGAAGGGCCATTCTGCAATACCAACCAGCTTATATACTCAGTAAAAGCTATGTAKGTCCTAGTGGTACTTTCGAATAACCTACTGGTTAAATTATCTAACCAGGGATAGTCAACAATAACAGGGCTTCGTGAGCCGATTAGTGCAATGCGAGCATATCAACAAAGCTTAACGGATTAAAAGTATATACAGGATGATTCGTCAAACATGCCCACCCTTTTTTATTTATATAATAATAATAATAAAATAATATCTGGCCTTAAGGAATTTTGAATATATTTAAATACCATATTATCCATAATGTTGATTTTTGTAACATAAGAAGAGTCTATTGTGTCAATACAAAGTTTTTCTCAATTGAGAACTGACCTTTTCACTATAAACTATTGAACATCTGTTCATTATTTTGAAAATTAAAATCCAAATTCGAACAAGATGTTTTTAGCTTTTGAATTATTTAAGATTGTGTATTAAAGAATATATGAGGGCTATGATTCGCAAATTTCAGTAACTAATGTTAACCCATCGACATTTTATAATTTTTTTAAGTTGTTCGAGTACAATTAATATTATAGATCTATTAGATAGAATTCTAATTTTGAAAGACTAGGTATTATCCTTAATATTGTCATTTAAATAACGCAGAAACTGGTTTAAATTTTGATTTCGATACATTTAAAAAGTCTTATGATAATCAATTCAAAGGAAAAAAGGGCTATTCTTATTTGAAAAAATAGAAGTTTAAATTTCCAGGGACATTATTTAACCTAACCTAACCTTACAAAATGTAAAAATTTAAATTTGATTAAATTCATAAATAAAGTAAACAACTGGAGTGAGAATGCTCAATGAATCACTCAACATTTATTATAATGTATATTTAGTATAACGTATAACAAAGATAACAATAAAAAAAAAATAATATAACTGATAAATCAGTCGACACCGAAAAAACTGCTGTCATATTGTCCAATCTGATTTATCAATATATGTATTTTTCCATTTTTTTTTATTATAGAACCAAAAAAACAACACTGATATACAAATTTAACTATTAGTATATTAAATACCCTTCAAAACATTTGACCTGGAAATAATTGTAAAAAGTATTATAATAATATGCATATACCTCTCCCTGAGTCCATGACATAAATCATAAATGCAGACTTAAATATTTATTGAAATATTGAATACACCACACAAAATCCTACGTACCATAATATAATGGACACGAAACAATATGTAGTAGGTAGTATAATGCGTATGCCTATTATCATTATCATAATCATTATTATTAATATTATGTGCATTGTGCACTTGTACAAGCCGTGGAGTGTGTTTGCRTGGTTGTTTGCGTATTCATCAACGACTATATTTATTATTCTACTTATTTTAAGTTACATCGTACGCAGTATTTATAATATTTCATTGTTATTAAAGATATCTACATCATGACTATACATAATATTACGTTTAGGTGAACACAGTACATAAAACCACGTCACGTAGCACTGTAGATATGGTTATTTTGGTTACCTATTAAATGCACCGGTGAACCAAATACAAAATAAACTAGTAGTAACGGAAAAAAATAATAATATATTTTCCAAAATGATTATATTAAACTTTAATGTATAACCATGAATCGAAATCTAGTTAAATTTTAGAATATAAGTGATCCTAAGCTATTTTTATTAATTACTGTATTTTATATTGTACCTTAGTTGAGCCATTTCAGTTTTTTAATAGGGGTGCCAAAATTTAAGCAGGTCAATTTTTTTTCGTCAGGTCATTTTTTCTTGTTAATAATATCTAAACACAGATATTGTTTATGTGTAGGTCACTTTAATGGGGTTAAATTCTTGAAGGATATATTTAAATGAATTCAAATAATTTCGAGTGAAGAAAAATTTCCATTTAATGCCACTAGAAGAGTGAACTAACTAACGATTGAACCCTGTCGGCGCATTGTAAATATGGGAGTTTGTAATTTGCACCAAAATAAGTGTAAGTAATTTGCACCACTCTCAGGTAGTCGAAAATAGAATTTTTAATTTGCACCAAAATGATTATTTATTTGTTCGATTATCGAATATTCAATTTTGAAATATTCGATTTTTCCTCGGTATCTTTGTAAACGTCGAGACTAGATTGATACGAATGACAATAATAATTTTAATAATACAATTTAATAACATATAATTTTTTTAATTGACCAACTTTTTTTATATTCATAATTATACAATTTTATATAAACTTAGTACTTACATCAATATGTGTATAAGTTCAGCTATTTTATATATAAAAACTAAGCTAAATTTATATTAGGATATAAAAACTTRTAAGTTTGTACTATCGAAATACTATCGAAAAAATAATCGATTTCAATTTTGGTGCAAATTACAATTCCTATATTTTACTACCTGAGGATGGTGAAAATTACATATCGTTATTTTGGTGCAAATAACAAACGCATTTTAAAAAAATGGTGCAAATTACACATGTTGAAATATTTTGGGTCAATTGTGGTACAAATTGACTACAGCCGTAAATATTATAGTCTAGGCCAATAAGTCATAAGACACAAACAAAAATATGGGAGCCGAATTATGCCCTGCCCCCCCTCCTCAAATGGCCCTATTGTACCCTTTGCGCTCACTCTTTATATTCATATTTAAATATTTTAGTTACATTTTTCATGCGCATCAACACGTACCATGGAATTCGTATTTATACATTATGTAAGAAACTATGTTTATATCACTTTTGAAATAAGTCACATTTTCGTAATACCGAACGTCTATTTAACTTTATACGCGTATTATGTAATACATTATGATGTATTTTTTTTTTAAATTACGTCGACAAAAGTCGCCGTATTTTCAGCAAATCGACATTTTTTTCGTTCGGTTGTTACTGTATAATTTTAATTTTCTTCATTCTGTGCAATGAAATGATTTTTTTTTTATTGTACATCTTCAACTAGGTACTTAGGTTATTAGCTTACAAGTTACGTGCTTAATTAGACAACTGATTAAAAAATGAAAGTTTTTTAGTTGGTCCATCCATATTATGAATTTTGGTTGGTTAAAAAGAATTATTGAAATAATGAAATCTAAAAATAGACAATTATAGACAAGTTACAAGAAAAAATATGACAAAAATATTGTTAAAAATGTTATTTTAATCTCACTATACATATTATGGATCTATCAAAGTAATATTAACATAATGTTAATGGAATATTAATTATATTAGTTAATATTTTGATATGATATAAATTTAAAGTTCAAATATTTTAGMTACATTCCATAAATATATGTACCACATTTAAATTAATTTATATTTTTATGTTATTTGTGTAGATGGGGTGGTTAGACAGGGTAGAAATAAGTCACTTTCAGGCCTGTTTATACGTATTGCACAAGAAATCGACGTTACAACAACTTACAAAATGAGGTAGACATTGTTGAAATAGAATTATTGGGCATGCAGACAAAAATGCTTCTACAAGCCGCAGTGGCTTGCAAGCAGTGATGCGATCGAATACACATACGCACATGGCCGCCAATAGAGTTTTCCGGCGTATAAATAATAACCATTCCAAAAAAACATAATATTGGTACATTGCTCTGCAGCACTTACAAAACACATTTTTTCTTTAAATATTTATTATTATTTTTAGAAATAGTTCACTATTTACATTTTTTTTTTTCAATGAATATTTAAATGCCTAGAATTACTGTAGCAGTACGCAGTACATCTTATTAAACATACCATGTACTATATTATTATAATATAGTTATAGTATATTGTTCGGAATTTTAAMTTAACTTTAGCATTAAAATACAAAAAGCAAGTATAGTTACTCTTATATACTTACATAAAGTATTTTAGATGTATTTTATGTATTTTATGTATAGATGTTGTGTTAGCTGTGAGCAACCTCATAAATAGACAATAGATAAACAATTATATAATAATAACGACGTAGAGATACCCAACGTTAACTTATATGATTAATATTTAACTGCGAATACAACAATTACGTGTTTG